TTTTTTGTGTAAAATTAGGTGCCTCGGCTTATATTCGGGTCGACTTATACTCGAGTATATACGGTACATGTCCGTAAAAAGAACTCTTTTTTGTTACATTGAATTAATTGAATAATTATTTTAAAATATAATTATTTTAAAATAATTATTTTAAAATATAATTATTTTAAAATATTTTAACACTTTATTCAATAAATAAATAACAGTTGCTTGTTATTGCTTGTTATTTATTAAATGACATTAAAGCATTAAAAAAATTAATGCTTTATTGACATTAAAGCATTAAAACATTAAAACATTTTAATGCTTTATTCAAGAAATAAATAACAATTCAGCAAAGCAACAAAAGAGCAGCAGTATGGTTTTCAATACTACTAAATTGGTCTAACCAATTTTCTGTTTGCCAGCATGGACTCAAATGCACGACCCTAAAACCAATAATCAAGACTTACTTACTTACTGTAGTAGTAATTGAAAATGTGCACTATAGGAATTGGCTCCAGAAAATAATGGGAGAGACTCCTACAAACTGAACTATGCACATATATACCTAGGTGATAGGTGATGAAAGCATAGATATTCATAATTGGCAAAACCTCAAGTTACTTCCCAGCTCTTCTACTGTTACCATACCCAAGAAAGAATCATTGTTTGATGCATAACAGTTAAGTTATCATAGAAATTCATAAAGCTGAATACCAAGCACCTCAAGGTAATTCCAATTAACACACATTCCTTCTATGTTTCTGCCTTGCTAATATGCTCCTCCAAGAATTTGTTTCCTCATTCAAGCAATTCTTTGAAAATATATTTATCCTATCTCTAAAAACATGAGAGTGTTGCTAGGTGGCATACAAACCTAATAACATTTAAAATCATGAAAGACTAAAATAAAAATAAAAATAATAAAAAACCTCCTTCTAGTTTCAAATACTGACTCTCACACAATTTTATTTGTTATTTATTTATCAAATTTTGAAACTACTCATTTTTCTCACAGAGGGACTCTAGGTGGTGTACAAAAATATTAAAACATATAAATTTAAAAAGAGCCAAAGATGATTAAAGTCATCATTAAAAATTAATTAAAAGGCAGGGACAGGGCTTTCAGGCACTAATCAGCTTGGGGGAGAGTTTTCCAGAGGATGGAGGTATTTCTCTCTTTCAACCTGTTGGAATTTTTTTACTGAAAAGGTCCGCAACATATCCTCCCTTCCCTGACCAAGTGGAACAGGTTGATGTAACAGGAAGAACACAGTTCTATAGATAACCTGTCTTCATGCATATAGGACTTCAAAACACCTTGAACTGGACTTGGGAGCAAAATGCTACTAAATGAAGCTTATGCAGCAAAAGTATGCATAATGTGCCTAACAATGTTGGGCATCTAACATTGCTTGTGAAACCGCATTCTATACCAGCTGAAGCTTCCGGATACCTTTCAAGGGTAGCCCCATGTAAAGCTCATTTCAATGGTCCAAATGGGAGATGATCAGGGCATGAGTAATTGAGCAGAGAGCCACTTTACCCAGGAAAGAGCACAATTGGCACACAACATTAAGTTGAACAAAGGCTTTTCTAGCCACAGCTGATAACTGTTCTTTGAGCTAGAGCCATGAGTCCAGGAGGACCCCCAGATTATGCACTGAATTAGTCTGAGGTAGTGAACACCATCCAAAACCAAAGATGATAAATTCTCAGATGCAGGGCCTACCCACACTCTTTTCAGTTGAAGTCTGTTGTTCCCCATAGCCTGTTCCCCATAGCCTGTCTGTTCCCCATAGCAGGTATCACAAAAGAACTTCCACAGCATCACTCACTCTGCCCAAGACTGAGGTAACAAATGATCACATCAGTTTGATGTAAATATTAAAAAGGTGCAGAAAAAGCACCTTCAGCATCCCACAAAGAAGGGGTTATGAGTTGGATCTCTTGCTTGATATCAGTACCAGTTGAGATCATCCTTAGAGGAAGGAGATGAACCCGGTATAGAACTTTGTCTCACCCTATTGCTTAAGTCAGACAAAAGATACCATGGTCAATGGTGTAAAAAGTTGCGAAGAGGTAAAGAAGAGCAGGAATGGATGCATTGCCTCCATCCAAATGAGTTCACAGTTTACTTAAGGTCAAAGAAATAACAGTCAAAGTATGCAAACTAAAACAGTGTCTGAGAGACACTTGCCTGCATGATTTACTGTTAATAAGAACATGTTATAGGAGTATACTTGGATTTCAGTAAGACATTTGACAAAGTGGACCACAACCTACTTCCTGATAAGCTAGAAAAATATGGGATAGACAGCATCACCACCAGAAGGATTTGTAAATGACTGACAAACTGCATTCAATATGCAGTGCTTAATGGAATTACATCTACATAGAGGGAAGTAAGCAGTGGGATACTGCAAGGTTCTGTTTTATACCCAATACTCTTCAATATCTTCATAAACAATTTAGATGAGGGAATAGAAGGGAAACTCATTGAATTTGCAGATGATGCCAAATTGGTAGGAGTAGCCAACACTCCAGGAGACAGGCCCAAGATGGAGCTTGACAGACCTGAACACAGGTCCTATTTAACAAAATAAATCCAATGTTGTCAAAAGGAAGATTTTGTACTCATGGGGGAAAAAAACCCCAAATGCACGGGTTCCAAAGCACCAGAAGGCAAGACAAGAAACAATGGATGGAAACTAATCAAGGAGAGAACCAACCTGGAACTAAGGAGAAATTTATTGACAATGAGAACAATCAACCAGTGTAGTAGCTTGCCTACAAAAGTGGGTGCTCCATCACTGGAGACTTTTAAGAAGAGAATGATATCCATTTGTCCAAAATGGTATAGCAGGGGTTTGGACTAGGAGACCTAATAGACCCCTTTCAGCTATGATGATGGTGATGGTGGTGGTGGTGGTGGTGGTGATGATGATGATGATGATGATGATGATGATATAGAAGAAGGATAGTATGAAACACTCAGATTCTAAGAGCCAGATCATGGTTCTCAACCAATTGAAAGGTCATAATTTCACAGGCAGAATCCATACAATGTCATAAAGAGCCATATATGAATTGGTTGCCCCTTAAATCAGGCTGCAGCCAACTGTCACTATCAAGATATTAACTGCCTTCTTGACTAGATGCCTTATGGAATGTCTCTGCTCTCCACTGTGCTCGTTGGGTGCTAGGGCTTGAAGAACCTACATCATTATTTCACTGCTTTTTGGCTTTGCATCTTGTGACACTCATACTCCACAGGTTATGCTGGAGTGACTTCTTCAAAGTCAAAGTCAGTGTCTGAGTCATAACCCATGATAAAACCCAAAAATGCAGAAGAAGAATCACTTGACATCATAAAGCCATCTTGCTATTCATCATTGGATCTCTAAGGCTATGAAAAAAACAAACATGTTTTAGGAACTTTTCAGAGGGTAAGCAAGGATGAGTTTAATCTCATTTCAGGGGAAATGATGTTCCAGAGGGCAGGGGCCACAGCAGTAAAGGCATGTTATCTGGGTCCTGCCAGATGGAACTCCTTAGTAGGACAGACATTATAACCTTCCTGCTCAACCTAATGAAATAGTAGATATAATTGGAAATACATTTGACATACTTAACCTTTTTTTCTCTTCTTTAGGAAGTTCTTCACAGTCTGGGTGGAATTGACAGTTTAGCACAGGTACAGTTATCCTAAAATAAATTATTGTTCTTTTATACACAGTCCTCAAAAGAGTAGTCCCATGGTGAGATAGACGGCAAATAAATTTAATCACAAAAACAATAAAATAAATAAATAAATAAACATTTTTTCTGTTTTCAGGGAATCACTAAACAAAGTCTGTTCAGTTTTGAGATAATAAAAAATTGAGATAAGCAAAGATGAAAATATTTAGGAAATTTAAATGTAGCCCTGGGAATGGGAAAAGAATGAATGAACTGCTATACCTTGCTATCATTTGGTATAATATAAGTTGGTATTAATTTGTAGTCTATATGTGATTATGAAAACTACTACTACCACAACTATATCCCAGGTAGTCAATTTTTTCTTGGTGGAATTCACATTTAGAGAGGTTTGCATATAGTTTGGCGTTTAGGTGTTTTTTGAGAATTGCTCGGAATAACTTGATGTGTTCTTTTGTTTCGGTGTAGATTAAAATATCATCAAGATAAACAAGAACCCCTTTGTACAAAGAATCATGGAGAGTCTCATTAATTAATTGCATGAACACGGCAGGTACTCCTTGTAGTCCAAAAGGGAGCACTTTAAATTGGTAGCATCCCAGTGGGGCGTTAAAAGCCATCTTCCACTCATCCCCTTCCCTTATTCTCATGCGGTAGTATGCCTCTCATAGGTCTAACTTTGAAAGGTGGGCTAACATGTCCTTCATGAGTGGGAGTGGGTACATATTCTCCACACTGATGGCATTAAGATTCTTGTAATTCACACATAGAGGCAAAGAGCCATCTTTCTTTTCACGGAATAATACTGGGGCTGCTATTTTGGATTGGGTAGGTTTGATGAAACCCCTTTTTAGGTTTTTATCGATAAATGCTCTGAGTTCGTTTAGTTCTCTGGGGGACATGCAGTACATTTTTGGTTTGGAAGTTTAGCCCCTAGTAGGATTTCAATGGCACAGTCTGTGACGTGATGGGGTGGGAGTTCATCAGAAGCCTCCTCGCTAAATACTTGTGCTAAATCCTGGTACTCATTGGGGATGTTAATGGCTTCAGCCGGCTGACTGGCCATGGCTCGCTCTCTGTTCTCTGTTCCCTTTCTTTTCCTTTCCTCTGGGCTGTTTGCAAATGCTACGTGTTTCTGGAAATGTATGGTTCCTCTCTTCCAATTTATTTTTGGATTCCATTTCCATAGCCATGTGAGACCTAGGACTAGTGACCCTTCCATTTCTGGAGCTGCAATGAATGTGAGCATCTCACTATGGTTCCCTAGTCTTATTTTCAATGGTTCTGTGGCAAAACTGGCTGGCCCCCCCCCCCCCCCGCTATAGTTCCATCTAATTGGCAGAAAGCGATGGGATTTTCCATTTTCTTTAATTGGATTCCCAATTTCTCTGCTAGGGAGGGGCTGTTTAGGCATCCCGAATCCAGTAACGCTGCAGCTTCCTCCCCCTTCCTTCGGGTGGGGATAAATAGTCTTAGGGGTAGAGTGATTGGTTCAATTGGGTCGCTTACCAGCGGGTCGTCTTCCGGATCGCTTTCGGACTGGCTCAGGTCTCCTTGGGGCGTTGGGGATTCTTCCTCTGGGTGGGAGGGGGGACTGGAACCTCACAGCTTCTTGGCTTCTCAGGCCAGTTTCTTTTCCTCAAGGGTTGGATTTTCCAGGTTTCCCCCCTGATGGGTGGTCTGGCTTTCTGGCAGGGGTTTTGGAACAGCATTCTGTTGTGTGGTACCCTTTTCAACACTTAAAGCAGCCAGATGGTCTTGGAGTCATGGTGGTTTGGGGTTTGAAAAATTCCCACTTTCCCTGGGGTGGGGATCTTCTCCAAACGTTGCCACTGTGGTACTGGCTATGGGTTATGTCTATCTCTGCCTTCTCTGCTATCAGGTACCATTCATGCAGGAGGTTTGGGGCCCCATGGGCCAGGCAGGCAGTGTACAAGTCGTCATTGAATCCATCTTTCAATCAACAGCCTAGGATATCTTCTGGCCTGTCAACTCGGCCGGCCAGGTCATGAAATTCCTCGGTGTACTCAGCTACCAAGCGACAGCCTTGCTTTACGACTCTAATGCGGTCGCAGGCTTTTATATCGGCGAGGGGGTCTTCGAAGTGGTGGCGTAGGGCTGTCATGAATCAATGAGGTTCCTCAGTTCTGGGGCATTGACGTTGTGGAGAGCCACCATCCATCTGGCTGCTGCCCCTCTAAGGCCAGGGTGACAACTTGCACTCGGGCCCCCTGGGTCAGGAAATTCCGCCCATAGTTTTGCATGTAGGTGAGGACTTGCACCAGGAAAAATCCCAGTTTCTGGGGTTCCCCATCGAATTTTACCCCCAAGGGCGGGACCTTTCTCTGCAGTTGTAGGTCTCTGGGTTGGCCAGGGTTAATCCCCTGCTCTGGGGAGGCAAGGGGTCGGGTACCTGGTATGGCTGCTGGTGCTCTGGCTTGTTCCAGTGCCTGAACATTCTCAGCTGGATTAGGGGTGACAGCTCAGGTTCTCTCAATTTCTGGTTCCCTCGCTCTCCTCCGTTGGTGACCTGGTTCATCCCTCACATTGAGGTCCTCCAGGGCTTCCCTCACGAGGCGATTTATGTACCGTTTCAATTGGTCATCTGCCGGTGGTTCCTCGACCCATTCTTCCTGATCAGAGAGGGCCTACAGCTCCATTTTCCACCCGGGTTTACAGTTACCCCGGGTGAGGGTTATTCCCTTGGTTCTTCCGTCCCAGCTGTCTCTCTTTCCTATGCCTATAGACCACCAGGGCTTTGTGGAGTTCTCGCAGGCAGCTTCATTGTCTTCGATGGGGTACATAAAGTCAGTGTCTGGCTGGGTAGTTGTCGAAGTTTCTCCCGAGCATTTGGCTTCCCCTTGCTCCATGCTATATTCAGACATTTTTGCAGGTCCCCTCGGTAGAGTGAAGTTTAAAAAATAATTCCTGTCCAGGTTGACCTCTGTTGCAGATTCTGCTTTATGTAAGCATGTGGACTTTTCCCCTTCAGCCGAAAAGAATGAACTTTTGAAAACTAGGTATTTCAAAAGGAATCCTTTATTGAAAGGAAGTGAATCCAGTACTAATGAAAGCAGAATCTAAGGTGCTTCCAGGCATTCAGTAATGGATAAAGGGAGTTAGAACCCCTCCCCTTATTTAGATGTGGATTTAGTCAAGCAAAGAACCAACATGTTAATTCCCCCCTCCCCTTTCCTGGGAACATATCTTAGAGGATTTTCCCAGGGAGTATCTTCCAGAGCTGGAATTTTTATGGTCCCTTCTCCTCTTGCTATCTCTCCAAGAGGTGACAAATTTCTAGCCATCTGGCTCCAGTCCTCCAGTTGTATATCATGTGCAGTTATACAGATTCAATATAAGATTTAATATATTCAGGTTCATCAAAAAGGATAACTTGTACCAACTCCCACTCCCTTCTTCTTCCATTGAAGAATGCCAGATACTTGGATCTGACATCCCCTTTTCTGTTGGGTTTTATTTTTACAACACATAGCAGAATTTTAGTATTTTTGGATAATGACAGAGGTAGAAAACAAAGATAACCATCCTTTTAAATATGATAATGACAAGCAAACTAATAAGCTGCCATATTACAGATATATTCCTCTCCTAAACCGATATCAATTTATGGTAGAAATTAACAACTTTTTCCTGTGTTACACTTATGACATGGCAATGGCAACAATGACATATTCTAAAATTAGTAAAAATATTAAAAAAAACTGGCAAAATTTCAGAAGATTGTGAAAGGAAATTCACTAATATTATTCCTGAGAAATTATTCATTATTATAGGATACCAAACCATTCTTGCCTGAAATCTTATTAAGAAACCCTATTAAAATCTTATGATACTTGTTAGGTTTGCAAAAGTTTGGCTGTAGTTTATTTAATTTGGGGTAACATGGAAAAGAATTGGGCATTGCTGGAAAATTGGTAAAAAATATGGAGACTGCAGTTCACTGTCTAAATATAAGATCATGCTCTTGGGGAAAATGAATCCTCTGGCAGAATACAATATTATGGGCTAGACAGAACAACAGATGAAAATGATTTAGATGTGCTCATAGCAGTTAACTGCAAAATGAGTAAACAGTGTCTAGGCAGCTCCGAAGGCAAACAAAATTATGGGAAATGCAACACTAAAGGGATCACTAGCAGGAAAAAGAAGGTCCTAATCCTGCTACATAGGCCCTATTTGGAATATGTGTCCAGTTCTGGAGTAATCACTTAAAAAAAGATATTAAGATTGAGCGAGTCCACAGACAGACAACAAAAATGATGGAGGAACTGAATATGTACAGCCTCAAGGACAGAAAGAAAAGGGGAGACGTGATTGAAATCTCTAAATATGCTAAGTATTTTCAATATTAAGCAAAAAATCAAGAACATAGGGCATAACCTCAAACCAACAGGAGGGAAGTTCAAAAGTATTGTTAGAAAGTATTGCTTCACAAAAAGTAGTGGGGGCTTGGAACGAAGTAGAAATAATAGATTAGATAGTGAGTCATTCATCAGTAAATGAGTTTAAAATGCTTGATATAAACAAATATCCATCATTCAGAAAAAAATTAAAAATAAAACAAAATTAAAAAATTAAAATTTTTCATATTTATCTTGGAAGCTCTAAGGTTTTTGGGGGTTGAAAGGATTGACCAATGATGTCACTGTTGCTGGGTGGGGGATACCCAGTTGGATGCTCCTTTCATGTCCCCATTAATGAGCCCACAGAAGTGATACCCATTTATCTATTCAGCATTTGCATGCTTTTGAACTGCTAAGTTTGCAGATGCTGGAGTAAATAATGGAAACTCACTCTTCCACACAGCAACATTTGGGTTTTGAATGCAGGCTTGCAGATGATCAACTCAGTGTTCTAACCATGTGAGCCATTTATTTATTTATTTATTTATTTATTTATTTATTTATTTATTTATTTATTTATCTATCTTTCTTTCTGTATTTATTTATTTATTTAAAAAGAAAATCTCAAAGGGCAGACTTGGTGGGCTATTAGGTCTTTTTCTGTCATCCGTTTGCAATATTGTTATGTTTCTATTAGAATGATGAAATCTGGGTCATATTATTGTTGATCATATTATTGTGTTGAAGTCAGACAAGCTCAGTATTGAGCTAATGAAAAGATTATAAATATTTTAATGTATAGTGAACATTCAGAATTTGAAGAAATTATGGGAACTTACAAAAGAAGCAAATAGTAACATGAACCATGGTGGTGCAGTGGTTAGAATGCTGTACTGCAAGCTACTTCTACTGACTCCTGGCTGCAGTTTGGCAGTTCAGGTCTCACTGGCTCAAGGTTGACTCAGCCTCCCATCCTTCCGAGGTGGGTAAAATGAGGACCCAGATTGTTGGGGACAATATGCTGACTCTAAACCGCTTAGAGAGGGCTGTAAAGTACTGTGAAGTGGTATATAAGTCTAAGTGCTATTGCTATTCCACAGCTGGACTGAGTAATTCCCAATCATTTTATTATTTCAAATTAACAGAAAGTTGGGTACATTGTAAATTATATAAAAAAGAAAAAGCTCCTTTGGAAAAAATGGGGTCATCTTCATGTTGGGGATGTCGGACCCATAGGATTAATCTGTCACATTTAAAATTACAGCACTTTACAGCTTGTAGGCCACCTCTGGCCTATGAGCAGTCCCATTCTGGCCTGCAGCTTTGGTGGTTGGGGACAGAGAATCGATGTGGAGCAGCAGCAAAGGAGTGGGCAGTGCGGTGCTGGTGAAGGGCAAAATATCAGTGCAGCATCACTGGCATCGGTGGGGTAGCTGCAGGAGCAGGATGGCATGGGCCCTTCACAGCATCCCAGTTTCTAATTTTCCTTTGGAAAAATTAATTGACCATCCCTGATGTAAAGTTTGTAATGTTGATGTTATCCATTCAGTCAAGCCTGAATCTTGATGATTCTGTGGGCCAGGTCTCTCCACTTCTTGTAATAGTTCTTTGAGTTTTTCTCTGCTCTGGGTGATGACAGCTTGGTGATGGCCAGGAATAGTGTTCTTTGACGGCCTGATTTCCTTTTATTACTAACATTTTCAAATATAATTGCTTTCTCCAATGAATTCCCCCATACCATGGATGTAAAACTCGTGTCATCACAACGTCATCATGTGACGTATCATGACTTTTTTCTCCTTTGCTAAACTGGGCGTGGTCTTGGCCAGCGCATGACACATCCAGCCTGTGGGCTGCGAGTTTACAATCCTGCCCCACACGAAAGATCTAAAGTGACAGGCAAGCAATTGTCCCAACTTTCAGATCAGAGTCTTTTCCAGTTCTGCTTTCAGATGCCAGAATTTAAATCTTGATCAGTAGTTGCCAAAAATACAAAATTATCACATTAAGCTAGTTAACAGCCATCAAACAAACCATCGAGAAATTATTTTTAGAAAGCTGGAAGGGAAAGACAATAACATTAAAATATGCACTGTCGATATCCCCATTACATACATTTCAAAGATTCTGAATTCCTTGTATGCAGTAAAATTTCTAAGCCATCGGAGTTGTGTCTAAAAGTTTATGTTAAGATAAACTACTAAGAACTGAGTAAGTGGCTAACTGTCAGGAAAGAAGCAAAAGAGCAGAAAGAGATAAATTTACACGCTGCCTGGTTTCCAGCGATTCTGGGTGCTACTACCAAGCCATAGTATGAAACCTGACTAATGTTCTGTATTAATACTTTTTTCCCCTGGCAATCTCAGTGTAATAATAATAAAAATTTTGTTTCATTGTTGTAATATTATTATGTGGTATATTACGAAAAAGTATGTCATTTACAAGTTGGGAGCATATGTGCTATAAAGTGTTATCATAACCTTCTCTTGATACCATGTTTCCATTGTTTTGTCATTTACAGTCTATGGAAACAGTAACAAATGATTATCTTGCTTATGGAGAGGAGCAACATAACATAGACAAACTTGTCAACATGATATGTAAGTTTAAGTAATTAGCTCCCAGTAAAATGAAGTAGTAAAGTTATAAAATAGGAAAATTGAATGTTGGTTGAAATATGTAGTATTGTTAAGCTTTCTAATATTGAAACTGCTCTTACACAACAAGTAACACTAAATAAACAGATGAGATTGCAAGTCTTAAAGAAATATGAAACCTGGTTCAATCTGACCCAATAAAACCATAGATTTTTACTTAGTCGGGAATAATGAGGTTATACTAATTTTAATGGCTTTTTCTAAACATGGCTGAACATATTTCATCCTTTGGTTCAATGTATTTGAAGGATATCCACATGGGACAATCAAGAAAGGACTGCAGCCATGTGATTAAATTTTTATCCTTTTTTTAAAAATGCGTTAATTTGTGTTAAAATTGACAAGTCCTTGCTGAGTCATAATCAATATGATTTTTTAAACATCCCCACTTCTGCAGACATCTCATTTTAGATCTTAAGTCTAACACTGAATCTTCAAAATCATGTGTCAGAATCTATTAAGTTCTGAAACAGATTACTATTTTGTAAATATGGATTCTTTTCCTCAAAACTATTCAAAATAAGAATTTTATGGGAGGCATATATTTTATTCAGTTTCTTTAATTCACAGATATTATTCAAAAACTTTCAGCAGTTAAAGATCAGAGAGAATGGGTTACAGCCAGCGGAGCACATAAGGTAAATGAATTAATGAAATTACAAAGATGCTTTTTTAAAGAGGCAATTGGTCTTTCTGGCTTTTCTTCAAAGAAGTTTTGCTTCTTATCCAAGAAGCTTCTTTAGCTCTGACTGGATAGTGGGGAATGGAAGGATTTATACACCTTGCAGACAGCTGGTCATTTGCATTCTTTTAGTGGGCCATTAAGGTCACCCGGAGGTTTATCTGTGTCATCAGGATCACCTGATTGGTGCAAATTGGTGTGGAGCCTTCTTGGAACTGTTGAAAGGACTCTGTTGTAGATTGGAGATAGATAATGTTGTATTGTCCCCCTCTGTTGAGAGAGGGCTGTTCAATTTTGACATAGATGTCCTCTTTAATCCCTCTTTTAAACCAGCGATATTCTCTGTCCAAAATATGAACTTTATTGTCTTCAAAAGAGTGGCTTGTGCCTTTTAAATGCAGATGGATTGCTGAATCTAGTCCTGATGTGTTCGTTCTCCTATGTTGTGCCAGGTGTTTATGAACTGGTTGTTTCGTTTCCCCAATGTACAGATCTGCACACAGCTCACTGCATCGTACTGCATATACCACGTTGTTCAGTTTCTGTCTGGGTGTTTTATCCTTGGAGCGGACAAGCTTCTGCCTTAGTATATTCTTGGGTTTGAAGTGTACATGTATGTTATGTTGGCTAAAGAGCTTTTCCAATATGCTTGCAATGTACGGAATGTACAGTATTGCTTTGTTTATTGTTCTCGTCATTGTCTGTTACAGAGGAGCTCCTGTAGGGTCTTTTTTGAGATTTGATGAAGGCCCACTTGGGATAGCCACACATTTTGAGGGCTTCCTTGATGGGTTTACATATTTTTCTTTTCCATGTTTGCTGGTAGGCAGGCCTTCAGCTCGGTGATGTAAGCTTTGTTAGGTTTCCAAGTGATGAAATCCATTTAAAAAGAAAAGAGCAAAGTCCATCTTCCAAGACAATTTATTTTATTTAGGAAAGCATCAAATTGGCAAAGTCCGTGGTAATTCTGGATCTGACACAACCCGGAATTACCCCACAATATTAGAAGTTAGAAACAACCCCCAAAAGTCACATTCTCCAATGAAGTAATTCAACGTTGTTTGATGTCATAAATCTCCACCTCAAGGGGCCTCAGCACAGTCAGCTCAAGTTCCCACAGGAAGAAGAATCACTCCCTCATTTGAAAAGAAACCCCTGCAACAACATAAAATACACAAAGATTGAAATTAGGTTAAACACAATCATACACTGCATATTTTAACCTCTTCTGCCACCCACAGAATTCGCCTTAGGCTTGTGTGGATATTTTTCATGGAATTTTCCCACCAATCTATCAGGATTAACTTTCCAGCTATTTACCCAAGTCGCTTGTGAAATTGGATTGCCTTTCCAATGAATCAAATATTGTAACTTCCCCCTGAAAATCCTAGAATCCAAAATTTTCTTAACCTCATAATGTTCATGGCCCACAATGAACAAAGGCTTTGGAGCTACATGTTCTGCTGGCCTCAATGAAGAATCAACAAATGGCTTTAAAAAATACTATGAAACACCAAATATACTTCCCCCAATAGCCTAGGGAGGTTAAATTTCACAGTTACTGGGTTTATTACTTTAATTATCTGAAAAGGCCCTATAAATTTTGGGCTTAATTTCCTAGAAGGTAAGTGTAACTTCAAATATTTAGTTGACAAATAAACTTTATCCCCCACTTTAAATTGTGGCTGCTAGGAATGATGTTTGTCAGCTTGTATCTTTTGGATTTGTGCTGCCTTATTCAAAGCCTTTTTTGTGTTTTCCCAAGACTCCTTAATTGTATCCATCCATTCATTTACTGAAATGGATGGGTGGTGGTGGTCCCTTGGCAATGAATTCCATCCCAGTATTAATTTGGAAAGGTGTTAACCCAGTATTGCTATGTACAGCGTTATTATAAGCAACATCTGCAAATGGTAGCAAATCAGCCCAGTTGGTTTGTTGGTAATTTACATAACATCTTAAATATTGTCCAGTAAGTTGGTTAGTTTTTTTTACACAATCCATTAGTTTCTGAGTGAAATCCTGAGCTTAGACCTTGAGAAGATCCAATTGCTTTTATAAATTCCCTCCAGAATTTTGCAGTAAACTGAACCCCTCTATCTGAAATGATTCTGCGAGGCTCTCCATGCAATCTATATATATGATTCACAAACATTTTGGATAATTTCCTGGCTGATGGTAGTCCTGGGCATGCAACAAAATGAGCTTGTTTGGAAAACAAATTCACTACAGTCCAAATAACTGTGTGCAAGTCCACAGTCCAAATGACTCTCAGGTAAATCTACTATAAAATCCATCCCTATCTCCTTCCAGGGCCGGGATGGTTCTGCTACAGATTGTAATAATCATGAAGGTTTTCCTGGTCTGGTTTTCCTTGTTGTACAAGTGGTACAACTCTTTACTCCTCAATGTCTTGCTTCATTTTTGGCCACCAAAACTGGCGTCTGACCATGTGTAGGGTTTTTAAATATCCAAAATGTCCTGCTCGTTTTGAGTCATGACTTTTCTGAAGTGCATGAAGACGTAAAGTTTTTGGGACATATAGTTTAGAATCCTTCCATGCTACACCCTCTTGCATAGTTAACAAATCCTTATTTTCTTGATACCAAGTATCTGCTGTTAATTCATTTTGCAACTTCCTGGTCATTTCTGATTTGTCTTTGATTTTTTTTTATTTGGGCTTGTGCCCGTGTGATTATTTGAACTGTCTCTTGAGGGGATGGTGGAATGATTGGGTGAAATACTTCTTGCTTACTGTCAAATTGGGGCTTCCTAGACCGCACATCTGCCAATAGATTCCCCCTCCCCCCAAAGGTACTTCAATTGGAAATTGAATCTTTTGAAGTATTGAACCCATCTAACTTGTTTAGGAGAGATTTTCCTGGCTGTTTTTAGAGCTTCTAAGTTTTTATGGTCTGTCCACACTTCGAACGGAATGTTACTGCCCTCTAAAAATTGTCTCCAAGTTTGTAAAGCCCAACGAACTGCATAATCTTCTTTCAGTGTCTGTGAGTTTTTCAGATGTATATGCGCAGGGTTGCAGATCTCCATTATCATTTTTCTGGAGTAGAACAGCTGCCAGTGCTACGTCGCTAGCATCGGCTTGCACTATAAAAGGCAATGCTGGGTCAGGATGTTTTAGAATGGGTTCCTGTGCGAAATGCCTTTTTAACAATTCAAAACCTTTTTGGCATTCTAGAGTCCATTTAAGGGGTTGTCCAGGTTGCCTTGGTTGTCCCCCAACTCCCAGTTTTCAATAGTTCTGTTATCGGTAATGCAATCTCTGCAAATGAAGGGATAAATTGTCGGTAAAAGTTTGCAAATCCCAAGAAGCTTTGCAGCTGTTTGTGATTCTTTGGGGGTTGCCAATCCAAGACAATTTCACTTTTACTGGATCCATTTCTATCCTCTGATTTGAAATGCGGTAGCCAAGATAATCTAATGACTCTTTGTGGAGTTCGCATTTGGATAGTTTCACATACAGCTTTGCATCTAACAGTCTTTTAAATACTTTTCTTACTAACTTGATGTGTTCTTTTAGAGTTTCCATTGTAAATAAGAATGTCACCCAAGTAGACCAGGACCCCTCTTTACAGATATTAATGTAACACAGTGGTTCTCAAACTTTTTCAGTCCACTGCCCCCTTGGTGCTACAAATTCATCCTCAGTACCCCCCACCCAGGGGTGGGATTCAAATTTCTGTGGGTGTGGTGTAATTTGAGGGTGTGGCTTGCTGATCACGTGACTGGGTGGGCGTGGCTTGCTGGTTACGTGACTGGGTGGGCGTGGCTTGCTGGTCACATGACCTGGTAGATGTGGTTTGGTGGTCATATGACTGGGTGGGCGTGGTCAGGTGACTGGCAAACCAAATACAAATGGTCCTCACTTAATGGCCGGTTGTTTAGCAAGTGTTCTAAATTATGACTGGCCTCCTCAGAGATACTTGACCTGTTTTTGGAGTTTTGACAGCCATGCACACACGTACACACACACACACACACACACACACACACACACACCCTTCTAATTCTGCTGGAGCAGGTCATTGGACTAGAATAGGCAAAGCGTCTCTGATTAGATTCTAGCAGTGAATAGAATCTAATCAGACATGCTTTGCCGATTCTTGTTGATTTGTTTTATTTGTATTTCTTTATTTTATGTTGCTGAATTGCATTGACATGTGTGTCCCTTCTTGTGCACAGCTCAGAAGCTTTTGTGATTCTTTGCAGCAAAAATTACTGACCACTGGCTTTGCTCTACTTTTCGAACGTGCCGCCACTGCCACATTCTAGGTCCCGGCCCCGCAGGTCCACCCCATTGAGCCCGTTTCCCCAGAGGGACCTGCTCAAGCAAGTCTGAGTGGAGTGGTGCACCAAGTCAATGGGGTGAGCCTAAGAGAGGGAAAGAGAGAGAGAGAAAAGAAAGGGAGAGAGAAAGAAGAAAAAAAAGAGAAAAGGGAAAGACAGAAAAAGAGACAGACAAAGAAAGAGGGGAGGATGGAAGGCAGGGACAGAAAGAAAAAGAAATAAAGGAGGGAGGGAGGAGGATAATGAGATATCTATTCTAGTCCAATCACCTGCTCCAGCAGGGTTAGAAGGGAGTGTGTGTGTGTGCTCTCCTTGTAATTTTGGTTTTGGTTTTGCCTTCTTCAGAATTGGCACTGTAATACATTGGAGAAAAGTAATTTTTAGGGTGGAGGTCTGGTCCAATGGATCCTGTTTAAAGCCTCAACAAAATGTGAGAGTTTCCTCATAATCTTGACCATGTTTCGTCCACAAAACCTTTAATAGAAGCCAAAGATGTTTCAATGTACTGGCAAAGATGCTGGCAAAGATGTTTCAATGTGGAAAAAGGCCTCAAGTCTAAACTAGGCCTCATTTGAATCTGATGCATCAGGTCTCTCTCTCTCTCTCTCTCTCTCTCTCCCTCTCCCTCTCCCCCC